ACTATATGGTCGATTCTGCTCGAATCCAACTCATGCCATACATAGATCCGTGATCATGGGGCTTGATTTACACGTAAAGTTTCCAACTTTACGTGTAAATAGGAAACCATGAGGGTTTTAGGGTCCAAAATGCACCAAAAGGGTAGATCTAGGGCTTTCATGTAATATGGTTCCAAAAAGACAGTAGATCTGAGCTCCTGGAGCTCGACCATGCCTAGATCTAAAGGTTAATCAGCTTATTACGAACCCTCAAACCTACCCAAGCTTGTAAATGGTTCAAGAAGGACTTTAATGGAGCTATAAGGGACAATAAGCATGAAAACAAGGGGGAAAACGAGTTATACCTTAGGGAACACACTGAGATAGCTCAAAGATGGTTGACCTCTTCTTCTTCTTCTTCTTGATCTACTCTTCTTCCCACTCCAAAACTTCAAGAGGACACACCAAATGCTTCAAACTCACAAGGAAACAAAGCTTGGACGAGATATAGGGCTCTAAGGGTGAATGGGGCGAGCTTGGGTCGCACAAGCTAGCTTAAACATGGGGCAAACCCTTGGAATTAGGGTTTCATCAAACAGCGATGACTCGCCGAGTCCAGGATATGGACTCGCCGAGTCGCCAACTTAAGCGTGCCCCCGAACCGCGTCCCTACTCGACGAGTCGGACCTACAACTCACCGAGTCCAAGGCTAAAATGACAATTACTTAGATAACTTTTACGTACCAGGAACCAGGTGCTACAACATTCCTAGATAAATACCATGTGGGGTAGCCCATTACGCGAAGGTGTAAGACCCTGGGGGGAGCCCATGACATCCTTACATGTTTATGTATGCGTAGCTTATGTGTTATATATAACTTTTATAGCTAACATGATATGTGTATTGTGTATGGCATGCTCTGGGAAACTCACTAAGCATTAGCTTATAGGTTGTGGACTTTTTGCAGGTAGTTCCAACCCCAAGGGCAAAGGCAAGGCGTGATGGCGTGGCGTGCACTCTCTCCAAGTCATTTTTATGGACACTTTGATATTAGATTTAAAGTTGTATTTGATATATGTTTTGAAAACAATTACGATTGGATTCCTTAAACTATGGAAATGTGTTTTCTTATCTGAAAATGAGAAAAATTATTTGAAAAATTAGGTCGTTACAAGTTGGCGGGTGTATCAAGACTCAAACTAAGTAGATGGTAAAATAAAATGAAAAAGTTTTTAAAGAAAAGAAAAGATGAGAGTGCAATGCGCGTGATCAGCCAAGCCAGGTAAGTGGTTTCCCCAATATGTTAGCCATGTTATACTAATATTTGAGCTTTGATGATCGTATGGAACCTGCTATGTGTATGCTTTTAAAATTGTATACGTTTAGAAGCTTATAGCCTCAGAATGATTGATTTGGCCTTATTTCCTGTTCCTTTTATGGTTATGGTCCTAGGGTAGAATCTTTTATTCGAAAGCCTATTTGATCCTTTTCTGTGTACAATTTGCATGCATAAAGGCAACATGTTATGACTAGTTTGATCGATATAAGTAGAACAAATCTTAGGATAGCCTGAGATTGATGTATGTGGTAGTTGTGGATATGGTGTAGTTTTGGGAAAAATTCTAGTTATCAGGTAGAGCATTGGGGAAAGGTACATGTAGGTGTGGAAGGTAGTATTGAGCTCGCACTACCGAAAGCACAGGACCTGTACCCGAACCAGTGTTAGATTTGACGACTTCAAGGAGGACCGGTGTGGGAAGATCCCTATTATGGAAATCTTGATCATCATGGTTTATGACATTACAATTCAGCATGGTGGTGACACGATTCGGAGTAGGGGGATTTGGATCGGGATCTGGATCCGGGGCAGGATCAGGCGACACTACCGATGTGATTGACAAGAGGCTGCACGAGCTCATTGCAGTCGAGGTTACCAGAGGCATCCTTGACGCCACCTAAGTCTTCTTTGGGACGGTCAAGGAGGGTATGATGGGAATTTTAGATGAGAGACTCAGGGCATTCAGGGAGGAGATTATTGCAGGTCAGGTTGGGGCCCAGACTCCTTTTTTCCGGGAGTTCAAGGCGTGTGGGGCGCCCGAGTTTTTTGAGGCCAGGGACCCCATTGTTAGCCGATGCTGGGTGGCAAACATCGAGAACTCCCAGCGCATGAGTTCTTGACCGGATGCGGAAAAGGTGGGATTTGATTCTTGTATGCTGATAGATAGGGCCTGAGATTGGTGGGGCGAGGTTACGAGTCAGGTGGGACCAACCGGTGTGGCTGAGATGACCTGGGCCGAGTTTGTTCGACGATTTGATTTGGAGTTTGCACTAGCCATTGAGGTGCAACGACTCATGAGGGAGTTTCATGAACTTCAGTAGACCACCGAGACTGTGGCAGAGATCACCGCCAAGTTTCAGGAATGAACTTTGATTTGATTTGATTTGTTCGATGATGTGTTATTATGTGATAGTAGTAGGGGTGAAATAGTCCCCAAGACTGGGTGAGATAGACCGGAGGGTAGGCAGGTACGCAAAAATGGCCTGACACAGGTAGGTTAGCACCCCAGAATGGCCTAACATGGGTAGGTCAGCACCCCAAAATGGCTTGACATAGGCAGGTCAGACACCCCAGAATTACCCAGTAGTATGTATGATTGTATGGTATGTGGTATGATGGGGGAACTCACTAAGCTTCGTGCTTACAGTTTTCAGTTTTGGTTTCAAGTACCTCTTTAGCTAAGGGGAAGGAGCCGGCAGTGTAGCAGCGCATCACACACACATGGTTTCCTCTTTGAGAACCCTGGGATTGTACTTTGATAGTTTACTATTTGATGTTATGGTTTTTGATACTTATGATCTATGATTTGATGTTTTAAAATGATGTTTCTGTAAACTATTTTTATAAGTAATATAATTAAACAAAAAACATTGGGTCTCCATTGTGGGATGTTACGCTCTACCATCTAACATTCTCTGTTCTTGTCTCTCAATTTTCTAAGTCTTATCCAATTGAGATTTTAGGAGTACCACCGAAATAATTCAATTTGAAAGTGTTCATCACGATTCTCAAAATTCCAAATGTTTTCTTACCCCGAATTTCTAACACCAATTAGATTGTTTGTTTTACACACTTGATAGGTCTGACCGGGTCATTATCATCTGACCGAGTCATCCCAAAATTATAGCTTACTGAAAAACTTCCCTTAGTTTCCCTTTCCCTAAGCGCATCGATCCCCTTGTTTTTGAGCGACATCTCCAGCTAAATCACCCCTTGCCCCTGCTACGACTCTCTTCTATTTTGTTCCTATCCACCTTGGCGACACCATATAAAATTGATGTTGAAATCGAACCTTCCCCATCTGAAATTGATTTTCACCACAAGAAAAGACTCCACCACTGTGAAATTCAATAGGATTGAATTGTCAATTTGTTGATTCCGTTCAGAAATCATAGGATGAGTAGTGTGCAATTCTATCTCCTTGGCGACACCATCTGAAATTAATGGTAAAATCGGACCTTTCCCATTTGAAATCAATGATGATTTCACCACAAGCAAAGACTCAACCATTGTGAAATTCTCCCTCCTGACCAATTTCATATATTGATACAATAAGGGACCAAGTAAGTTTTTTTGTTCTTCGGTATTGAAGTTTTTAGCAATTTGTTGGTTAGTTCCAAAATTTTGAATCCATTTTTGAAATCAGTGAGTTATTAAAATTAAATTAGAGTGTTAACAAACATCTAGGAGGACAGGAGTTCTATATGAAAAATTCTATAACTAACTAATTATTCTTAGTGATGTTTTTATAAGTTTGATATGAAATAAAAGTTCAACACCATGAACTTTTAATAATTGAATCCATGTATTGCGTTTTTTAGGGTTCATTGAGTGCAGATGTATGGAAATTTTAATTATGAATTGAATCAAGTTTTTTTGATTTAGAACTCAAGAAATTATAAAGTATTTAAATTTTAAGAGAATTAGGATTTAGGACCTTCGGTTGTATTATCATCAATTCGATTGTCTCAAACTTGAATTTAATAGTTCAAATTTGAAGATTGGGAAATTTCATGAACAATGTTGTTTAGGAAAGTTCATGAATTGAGCTTTTTCTAAACGGTTTAGTTCTAATTTTTGTTGAACTGTAAAAACAAGCTCAAAAGGAGAAGCGGTGAGGGTTCTGGAAATGAAATATTGTTCAAGGATATTGATGTATTGGCCAAAGCATTATATAAAGATAAAACACAACAATGAGCATTAAGCCTACAATTTTGATTGCATTTTATAATTTTGATGGGTTGTCTAATTATTTTGACAATATCTTGATTGGTTTGTAGTTGTGTTTTAAGTGTAAAATACTCTGTGATCATCATTTTTTTATGTATCAAGCAAATTTCATTACTTTGATCAAGGTCTCGCAAGTGTAGAGGTATTTATAAACTAATTAAAATGTAGATTACTTTGTGAAGTTTGCATTTAAAGCTTATAATATGGTGCAAATTGTAATTGATTTTCTAAAAAGATTTGGAGGAATTCAAAAGAGTATAGTGTATAATTGTTAGCCATGCAAACATAATAGAAGGGTAAAATTGTTATTTTTATCATTCAACACGTTCAATCAGACACATAATCAAATAACATTGTTTCGGTTATATATAAATTCAGTTAGACTTCAGATTCTGATTCAATTAATCCTAACCCATAAATAAAATACATGGACTATTCTTAAAATTTACTATTGGGTTATCTACAGAAAAGTCTCAAATGTTTTTCAAAAGTTTCAATAAAGTATTAAAAAAAAATTAACTGAAAAATCTTAATATTTTGATTTTTTGCTTAAACTAACGAAAAAATCTTTTTTTTTATTTGAACAACAAATGATAGATTATATGGGTTTTTCAAAATATTGGTCTTTTCTGTTAAAAAAAAAAATTATAACTTTATTGAAACTTTTAGAAAAATCAATACTTTTGCATAGATAACCCATTTACTATTGAAAGAAGTTATTTAGAGGTACAAATTTAACAAAGGTCTCCTAAAGGACCATAGTTGGAAGATGGAAGTTAGTCGAGGGATATTTTTCCTACATACACAAAATTTGAACTTTGTGATGATTTATCTCTAATCCGTTGCCCCTTGTCCACAACTCCACCCCTTATCCGTTGCTTGCATATGCAACCTCCTCACTTTTCAAAGCAATCCAGGATACTTGGAACCATGGGATCTGTTCCGTTTCAAAAGCTTATAAGCGCTTTTAATTTTCAACGGTATCAAATTTTGATTTTTTGGTACAATTTCTGAAGTTAGCACTAATCGATTCCAATTTTGGGTTTGAATTGTTAAGTTAGTAAACCCTAGTTTCTGTATGTTATCCTCTTTTATTGAGAATGAACTGTTAGGCCGCTCGAAAAATTGAAGCGATAAGATAGAAGTGGTTATTGTTCGAGCGTAAAACCCAAAGCTGTTAAGTAATAAACATATCGGAGGCGATGGCTTCAAAGCCCAAACCTTGCATTCTTTATGTTAAAAAGGAATCTCGTTGACAAGTATCTTTGTGATTCACGGCTAGAAGTTGACCATTCTGACTCATTTTCAGTGTTTGACGGATGTGAATTATGATTGTAAATTATTCCTTAGTTATTATCAAGTAACAATAATATGATTTTGATCATGGGTTTAATTTTAAACCAGTTAAACTCTAATCGCATCTGTGAAGTCAAATTGTTGGTTCTAAGGAGAAGGAAACTCATGTAAACTGTCAAGTACCGAATAAGATGTTATACAATGATAATGATCATATCTTAACAGGCATTACATGTAATCTTTTAATTTTAAATTCATGAGAAGTAAGAAATGTGAAATGACAAATTTAACCTTGAAATCTCAGCCATCATTGTGACTTGTCTTGTCTAGAACACAGTTTGTTGAGACCTGGTCACGTAACCCAAAACTCAAGCGGACAATTAGCAACAAGCAAAATGATTCCAAGAAGGCTGGTTTTGCATATGATACCTCTGAATTTTTGCCTCCATGCTGAAGCCCTGGAGATGAAGGAGGCTGAGGTTATTAGGTATGAAATGGGTTTGTTTAAGCTTTGATTGGTCAGCAGCTATTAATTTGTGTTTGAATTTCAGGAGCCAAAAGCTTGATAGTGGAGTCCGAATACAAGGTGATTTCTGAATTTAGCAGCTTGCTCAGACAGATTTCAGAATAGAAAGATATGTGGTTTGATTTAAGTGATTTTGGAATGGATAGATATCATTGATGGTGAAGGTGAAGAGGCTCATGAAGGGGATTTTGTTGAAGTCAATTATGTTTGTCGTCGGTCAAACGGATATTTTGTACACAGGTGAGGTGAGGTTGGAGGTATATAAAAACATCAATTTTTTTTTTTTTTTTTTTGAAATTAAATAAGTTGAATCGTTTCCTCGTTCAAATTTGCAGCACTGTGGATCAATTCAGTGGTGAAACTTCCCCGGTTGTACTTCCTCTGAATGAAAAAGAGGTATCTGTTTATAATAAATTTTGTATGTTGAAAGAAAGCTCAAAGTAGTGAAATGGAACTGAATTTGACAGATTATAAAGGGTTTGAAGGAAGTGATAATCGGAATGAAGGTTGGAGGTATGTATGTATTATATTCCATCTTTGTTGTACAATGATTAATGTAATGATGGAGAAATGTTTATATAAAATTCCAAGGGTTTTGAATTTGATGGCAACTAAATTTTACATTAATTATGTCAGGGAAGAGAAGGGCATTGATACCTCCAAGTCTTGGATATGTTAACGACACATTGGGACCTATTCCAGACGAGGTTTGCTCATCATCAATCAAATGAAAATACATACATAAAATTAAATCTAAGTAATCATTTTTATGCTATTTGTTGCAGTTTGGTCCTCGACGCAGCCTTTTGTCTCATGTAAAGGAGCCCTTGATATTTGAGGTGCAGCTCCTCAAGGTTTTATGAATCAATGTGAACTCAAGTGTATGTGTATGTGTGTGTGTGTGAAAAAGGTAGGCATATCCATATTCATACCGATTGACTTGGAGTTGGAGGGCTATGTTAATTTGTTGCTCATTATTAGCCGAATGAATTGGTGTATTTTGTCACGTATATTTGATTTTACGAGAGTGAAATAATTGCCTTTCCTTTCTTTTAATAAAAGAGTTCACCAGCTGCCCTAGCCCCTAGGTAGATGAGGTCCTGCCCTGCTCTTTCTTTTAGTTTTAGAATTGAGAGCCTGAAACATATTAATACAATCATGTCAATATTCAATTCAAAATTGAATCATGGCTATCGAGTAAATTACAAGAATGGTCCCACATAAAATATTTAGATAAAACAAATGATATTTTAGGATACTTGTCATCATTTTAAATGGGTAGTAAGATAATTAGGATGAAAAGTAGGAGGATATTTAATTACTCCACGTTTGGTTCGTAACTTATTTTTTTTACTCGGAAGATCCTTACTATTTGTTTTTGTTACGTGTTTGGTCCCTGTGTTAACTAAAAAAACTATTTTGCACTTGATTTATTTATTTATTTAAATAAATACACCCCCAACCTCATCCCCTCGCCTTACGTTACCTACGTCACCATTTTTCCTTAGGTACCAAACGTGTAATAAAAAAAATTGTAGGGAGTAAGTGTGTAACAAAAACAAATAGCATGGATCTTTCGAGTTAAAAAAATAAGTTAGGGATCAAGCGTATAAATTACCTCAAACCATAGAGACCATTCGTGTAATTTACTCTTAATTTTCGTACCTGCACATTGCCGTCCTACTCCTGTTGGCCTCATCTTTTTCGGGTTTTATTTATTATTTTTTTTAGCAAGCTAAACTAGTGATTAATACCAAAATAATACATTAAGATTTAATAAAAGGAAGAAAAGAAAAAGTTAGGGTAATATACGAGCTACACATATTTTTTATATGTATATAAACTTGGGCTTTAGGTGACCAATCTTGGACATGTCTTTTTTGGGATGAATTTGATTGTTTTTAGGACCAATCTCGTTCTAGACCGGTTTGAAATCAGGAACCGTTCGAGACCGGTGGTTTTTAACCAAGAACATAAAAAAGAGGGTAACTTGATTTCTCTTAAAGGTACACACCATGGCCCACGGTTTAATCCTTGAAAGGAATTCAGTTCCTCAACCATTAAGTTAAAAAAAAATAATAAGAAAATTATTTCAAGGCCAATCGTGTTGGTTAAAAAAAAATAATAAGAAAATTATTTCAAGGCCAATCGTGTTGATGGCCAATTTTTTTTTTTTTCTTTTTTTTCTTTCTCTTCTATGTCAATGTTTGATCTTTTTTTCTTAACCAAAATCTTTTCCAGAAGGTTGCAATTCTTTTTCTTGTATGATTTTTGAAAATCATTTTGCATGTTGAGGGAGGGAAGAACAAGTGGGGTATCTTTTTTTAGAGACCATGACAATTTCATCATTCATATTAAAAATTGTTAATTGAGGTGTTGATATATTATAGTATTCATAATGTATCAAATAAGAAATCTGAAGAGTTAAGTCTAAAAGAGGGCAAATAGGTTGAAAGTTGTTTTAAGTTTGCAAACCCCTAATTCATTTCGTTTCTTTTTAAAGCAAGTTAAATACATGTCAAAATAATATATTTGGAAATCAAAGTTTAACTTCTCTTGGCGAAGGATATAGCCAATAAATAATATACATTAATTGAAAAAAAAAAACTTATCTACCCTAATAAATAAGAATGATTTTACCACATGTTCTTTTCTCATTCAATTGACCACATATTATTTTGTCATAATTTTGAGATATATTTATTGTCTACTTGTTATTTACTTCGTTTTTCATTTCCAATATATCATTAATTTAGTTTCCATAAATTAAAGCTACCATAATAACTATTAATTTCAAATTTCAAATTTTAAATTTTAAATTTCAAATAAATTTACAGTTTAAACTTTTGTGTTTAGCATTTTGTTATAATTTACCCCTTTAGTACACAAATTTAATAACTGATAACATAATTTTAATTAATTTATTTTTTGCATGTTTTTTCTCATGAATTTCAATTATTTTAAATTTCAAATTTAAATAAATTTTCCATTTAATCATTTATATTAACATTTTGTTTTAATCAACTTGTATAATATATGAATTTCACAACTAATATTTATTATTTAATTGTAAGTCTAATTTTGTATTTATATCATTTAGCAAAAGAGAGATGTTTGGATGTTAATTTGAAATAAGTATTTTCATTTAAGTCGCTTACCAACTTCATAAATGGAATTGAATGTCTTTTAACAGGAAAGTTGTACATATAACCGTATATGCGCACCCAATCAATGTATTATAATCAATTATACAATCACTTATCAATTTACCTGTGGTTTTTTTTTTTTTTTTTTTTTTTTTCTAATTTTATTTGTCATAATAATAGGCCGACTAGATCTAACCACTTGTCGCAAATATATAAAATAGCAATAACAATTAACAATTAGGGAACAATGGGTTATGCTTATGGAATGCACGACCACAAATCAAGGATGGATTAAGACATAATTTTGGCATTAGGGGACACTGATAGCGACTTCATCATATCATTAATCATTCTATTGTTTAAATTGATAATGGTAGTGTGGAAATCCACAATACTTCTTTCCGCTTTTGACCACAAAAAACATAATACAATTCGTTGTTTTTATTTTGGGTTATGTAAATATGATAACAAATTTTAGAGAACATAAATCAAGCAAAATTTTCTGATAACCGATTCGAGTTTTCTCTTATACTAATTGTTGGATATTTTGATAACCAAAATGTAACATCCTAAATTTCAAGACCAAAAATTTCATTTTTGAATTAATATTTTATAAAACATTTTACCAAAACATTGTTAATAAAACAGCACATTATAAAATCATAATGTTGTGTCCCAACCCATGACATCAAAAGTAATGAAAATTAGAGTACAATCTCAGAAACCCAGTGCGGAAACCATGTGTGTGTGTGTATGGTGCGCTGCTATACCGCCGACTCCTGTCCCTTCGACGAAGAGGTACCTGAAACCAAAACCAAAACTGTAAGCACAAAACTTAGTGAGTTCCCCCATCATACCACATACAATATCATATCATCGGTATCTCTCAACCGGTAACTGTCATCGGTATCTTTCATCCGGTATCTTCCATCAATATCTTTCAACATGTAATCATCATCTGTATCTTTCAACCGATACCTACCATCGGTATCTTTCAACCGGTAACCGGGGACTATTTCACCCCCTACTGCTATCATACAATATCAAGATAAAATCATACAGTCAGACATATTTGGGTACTGATGTACCCTTTGATCTTAAGGACCGATGTAACGGAAAAACTATTCCCTACTACCACCACTAACATACACATTGCATATCATACAAGCATATCTTATGACCATATCACATAAACATACCAAGATAATTATCACAAAGACAATTATCCACCACATATCCCTGATGGTGGGCCGACATTGTGGCATTAGACTCACCCCTACTGGAAGGTAACTCACATTAATGTCGTGCAGTGTCTGAACTATCTTTGGCATACAAGTCGACTACCCACGAACCCTCGATCCCTACACGATAATACTTCAAAGTTATTCATTTGAGTATGCAACCCTAACCGGGGTCATACCAATCTAGTCAAAGTCAAGATTGGTCAAAGTCAACTTCCAGTTGACTTGACTTGCCGAGTTGGTCTACCAACTCGATGAGTCCATACCCCTCAACTCGATGCAAATCCCAATCTCAACTCATCGAGTCTGGCAAGAACTCGACGGGTTCTTCTTCGATCTTACCCTCAGGGCCAACTTCATTTGGCTCGCCGAGTTCACCTTGAAATCGTCGAGCCCACCCCCTCTTATGAACACGTCCAGTCTACGACTCGCCGAGTTGTATGAACAACTCGCCGAGTCCTTAGGAGATTCCCTTGGACTCGCCGAGCCTGTTCCAAGCACTCGTTGAGTCCCTTGACTCCGAGGCCCTCTAATGAGCTTGAACAACTAAGGGACCTTCCTTGCTCTCATCTGGTCCTTTGACAGAAGGATTTGATGGTTATTACACTCCGACTCGTTGAGTCCCAAGAATGACTCACCGAGTTCACTCTTGACCATCACCATACAATTGATCTAAAGGGGTCTTAACACACAAAAACCATAGATTTGGCCTCCTAATGCCCATTTTACATGTAAAATCCCGAACTTGATGCGCATTCAAGGGGCTTTGGTTCAAAATCCATAAGAAGTGACCTACAAGAGGCATGGGTCTCTCATGGCCATAAAGTTGGCACCTTTATGCCATGAGACCCCTCCTAAGGCCCAAATCTGAAGTCAAACCCCATTCAATCCTTTCATAATCCGAAAATGGCTTAGAAAGCCCCCAAAATCCCAACTCCAAAGATGAATAATCACATAGAAGACCAAGACAAGAGATTTTTACCTTGAATGAACTGGAAATGGAACAAATCTCCTGGATCTTTAAGCCCCAACTTGCACTTCTAAGCTCCTTTCCTCTTCTCAAGCTTCTCAACCCACAAAAATACACCAAAATGGCCTTAAAGCACACAAACAAGGTTAGGGTTTCAATATACTGTCTTATGGGAGTGATAGGGACGAATGAGGCTGGGATAAGTTGTTTAAATAGGGTGTCAACCCTCGGATTTAGGGTTTCACCCAAACAGTACCTACTCGCCGAGTCAGGTTCCCGACTCGTCGAGTAGGCCACTTAAACTCTCCTGCGGTCACGACTCTACTCGACGAGTTGGGCCATCAACTTATCGAGTCCCAGAACAATTACAAGAAACCTTGAATTAATACATATCAGGAATCAGGTTTTACAAATCTCCCCCACTTGTTTTAGACTCCATCCTCGAAGTCTGTTGTTTGGTCCTGAAAAAGCTCAGGGTAGTGCTCCCTCATTTCGTCCTCCGGCTCCCAGGTCCATTCCGAGCCCTTTCGGTGCTGCCACTGAACCTTTACCAATTCCACCCTCTTGTTCCTCAGATCCTTCGACTTCCTGTCAAGGATTGCCACTGGCCACTCGATGTAGTTTAGGCTGTCATCGACATGAATATCCTCTAAAGGCACCACTGCCGAATCGTCCACCAGACACTTTCACAACTAGGAGACATGAA